AAATATGAAGACTGATTATTTGCGCACCTGCTATGTGCTAGCTTTTGTGCCTGGAATGATCACACATATCTTATGCCCTCACAGTAATTCCAGAAAGTAACTATCATCTTCGTTTTATGCATTGTGGCATTGACTAGGAGAATTTGGGTGGGCTGGTCGAGGCCATACAGCCAGCCTGGTGGCCGGGCTGTTCCAGTCAGGCCCTGTGTGTTTTCCACGCCCCTCTGTGGCCTCCCACATGAGCTTAGAACCATCTCCTACTCTGGGTTTACAGACGGGGTCGCTGACGCCCAGAGGATTTTAGCAACTTGCTCAACGAGTGCTGGAGTCATGCCTAGAATTCAGTTTTCTTGAACTATTTATTAGCAATGAATAATTGCACAGTGTCACCCTGAGGTTTTAAAAGTTTATTTAGTTTTTCTGAGAAGAGAGAGAGAGAGAAACAGGCACCCCATGGGGCCCTCACAGAGTCTGCCTCGTGGGGCTTGCACCCCGCGTGTCCTGAGGAGTGCTTGGATGTCCAGGGCAGCTCTGACAGCCGTGCTGCCGTCTCGGCCGGGCAGCTGGTAGTTCTAGAAGGGCCACCAACCGGGCGCTGGGGTCACTGTTTTGCACTCCCAACACTGCACGCAAGTGTTTCCACCGTCTTGTGCTGCTTTTTGGCCAACAGCATCAGCAGTTTTGGGGAGCCGCCACTGCACGCAGAACCCACACCGCATTGCTCAGACGCTGGGTCCTTTCCTGGGAGATTTTTGCTCCCCATCTGCTCTGAGTCACCCTTCTCCCACCTCATGTTCTGGGTCGTTGGAAAATCATAACGGGTTTCTGTGAGAATGACAAACTACGCCATGACTTTTCCAACGACCCGGTAGTTGCTGGTGTCCCATGCTGTGTGATGTCTACCTCCTTATTCCAGTAAAGTCTGAGAAAAGGTTTTTCAGTCTGGAATGTCTGTCCTGCCCCTTCCCGTTTCCGCTCACCTCCTCTTCATCCTTCACGGTCCATCTCTGCTAGTCAGTGCCCCTGGTCGCCATGTTCTGATGTAGCGTCCTCCTCGGCCCACACCCACTGTCTGTCTCTCTTTACTTCCACTTTCAGTTTGTTATGGGGTGTGTGTGCTTACCAGAGAGATGGGGGGAGAGTGAGAGCGAGAGAGCGAGAGCGAGAGTGAAAGAGAGAGAGAGCGAGAGAGAGAGAGCGAGCGAGAGAGAGTGAGTGTTAAGTCTTGGCGCCCCCTGAATCCAGCACCAGTGCCCAGCTCATCACCACTGCGTCCGTCTAACCACTGCCTCCCACGTGGCAGGGCACCCTGTGTCCTGGTGCCCTCGCGTGCCAGGCGCTGGGTGGGTGGGCACCAGTGCGAGAGTCCAGAAACAAAGGTGACTTCGTTTTGACTCGGCCCCTCTAGCTGCCGCAGCGCTGCCCGGGGAGACACCAGCAGGTGCGAGGGTCTGACATGCACTTCACAGGCCAGTGACTGTTCCTGCCCACAGCCGGAGGCCAGAGAGCACTTGAATGCCTATGGACGCAAGATCGATGAGATAAATGATATATCGTAGAACGGAATTATACAGCCCAATGCATGACGAGAACAGCATGCGGAATCTGACGTCGTGCACAAGGGGTCTTTAGAGAGTCCATGACAGATACATACCGTGAAAAAGACGCATGGATTTCAGGATCATTTGCATTGACGTTACTTGGTACTGTCACTGCATTTCCCCACAAGCTCATTGGAGGTGTGACGGTGCGTGAGACGACCTCGGGCTGCGCCAGTAGCGCTCCTGTCTGCGGCTGTGAGCCTGCTCGGACGTGCGGGAAATGTCTTCGGAAGCAGAGACCAGCCAGTGATCGTACAGGTCGTCTCCCAGGAGGGGCGCGGGCTTCCAGGAGGAAGACTGCCCGCTTACACCTTCTCGTTTCTTTGCAGCTTTGAGTCTACTGCAGATATGACCTGTTAAAAAGAAACAAAGTTACAATGAAAGGAAAAGCGTCTTTCTAGAAGGCCCTGTGGGCTGTGTGTGAGGAGGGCGTGGGCACTTGGGGATTCGGCAATCCGGGAGCGAGACTGGAAACACCCTGAGCTCCTGCATGGCAAGGACACTGGCTCGCTGTTGGGCGTTCTTGCTAAAAATATGAATCCTGATGCTACTGTGAGGAACCCGAAGAGCCCGCGCATTTGAAAAATGTCAAGGTCACTAGGGACTAGGAATAGGCGGGGAGAGGGGACAGACAGTGGGGTGTGACGTGCAGTGCCACTGCAGATCCCAGACCGGAAGAACAGTGTTGCCTCTTCGGCTGGGAAAGGCGTTAGGCAGGCAGTTGGCAGATTTGGAGTCAGTCTGAAGCGAGGCTGCGGTGCAGCTTCAGGCCTCCCTTCCTGACTCGGTACCTGCTGTGGTTATCAGGACGGGTCTGGTTTTAGGAATTAAGGTCTTAAGAATTTAAAGGTAAAGAAGCTTTGTGCCTGCAACTTAGCGCGACCGCACGGGGAGACAGGAAACCGTGAAATGCTAACATCCGGGGGGCGGAGTGAAGCAATACGGGAATTCTTTGAGCTCTCTGTGCGACTTTTCTGTCGGAAATTATTTCAAAGTAAGAAACTTTAAGAAAAAGCCTCCGACATGTGACACGCTGTGACCCGGCGGCCGCGCTGGCCCTGCCCTCTGTACGTTCTCATGGCGTCCTGTGTGTGGAGACTGGGGTGTCACTGACAGGCAGTCCTGGTTTTCCTTTTTCAATAACAGCTCTGTTGAGGTATATACCACAGGAACTCACCCTGAATATCTGTACACAATTGTCTGTTTTCTTTTTCAAATGTAGCTTGTACATTCAATCACTACCCACCCTACTGTCTGAACGGTAAATTTGCCCAGCGTGCATACCCTTCGCACCAGTCCAGGTGAAGACACCATACACATGTCTTGATTATCCTCAACACACAGTCATCCATTTCTGCGTCCGTCAGTGTCTTGCTTCTCTGTTTTTCTCCTAGATTGCCTTCCTCTCACTCTCCCTTCTCCCACCCTCTTCTTTTTTCCTTTTTCATGATAGAGCTTATGTGCCTGCATGTGAGAGTGAGGGAGAGACAGAGAGGAACACCCTCTGCAGTGTCTGGCCACGCCGCCACCCTCTCCTCCAGTCCCCCAGCCCATCCACTTTTGGGCACCCACACCTGTGCCCAGTATGTTTCAGGCTGACCAGCCCAGGGATTCGAACCGCAGTCGCTATGTGGGATCTGGTCTAAGGCTGCGCACCTCAGCTTGTTTCCACTCATCATGGAGGGGCGTGGTTGGGTCTTGGCCCGTGGTCTTTCCCCTCTTGTGTGTCTGCGGCTCTCACGGGAGGCCTCCTGGGCGAGCTGCTGCCGGTGAATCCCAGCAAGGCTCTCGTGACTTTCAGTCGAAGCATTTCACCACCATCTGCAGGGCAGATGGGTTCCCTTACACAGCCTGTTTCGGAAAGGAGTAAGGTTCGGGGATGTAGATTTTGTGCCTGTCCATTGAAGTGAGGACAGACCACTCCTGTACTGAGCAAATGGGGAACAACGTTTATGTTTGCACTTTCCAAACTGTGGCCCCCAATTTGGCTCCCTCCTCCTGCCATTTTTTCCCATTTGGTGACTTACTATTTTGCCGTTCATTGTGAACAAAGGGGGATAGAAAGCCAGGGCCCTTAAGGAAAGGGCTCGGGCCGTGCAGCAGATTTGGCTGTGACCCTCCACGTGCCTGCATTTAGATCAGGGGCCTCCTGCTCCCCGGAGAACAAAGATTGCATTGGTGTTTATGATCACACACACACACACGCACACGCACCCTCAACGGGCTGTCACGCTGTGATCTCCCTGCCTGTATGGGGCAGCTGGGAACTGAACCCCATCCTGCACGTGGTCTGTGCCACCAGGGCTGGGGCCTCAGTGTGCCTAATGAAGATTGTGTTTCTGTGATAGTATGTGGTATGTGTATGTGCATCACATATGTAAGTGTGTATACACACATGCAAATACACATTAGATATACTCGACGTATATACACGTCACAAATATGTAATGTTACATTGTATGTACATGACATATATACATATACGACAAGTAGATGACATTACATGCTATGTACACATGCACATATATGTTAATACATGGTATATATGCACACCAATATGTGTTACATGATGTGTAAGTGTATTTTAAGTTTTATTTCCTCCATGAGAGAGACGGACAGGCGCAGTGAGTAGGCTGCCCGATCACATGGAGCCAGTCAACATGTCACCAAGTCTTGAAGCAAGTTGTATTGCATAGCTAGCGAGGGGACAGGAGAAACCGCAGGTCTGCCTGTCTGGTCACTAGGGTGGGCTCTTAGGGAGGAACTGCTCCTGCCCAAGTCTTCAGTGAGATCCTTTCATGCAAATGAAGGTTTCAAGCTGTACTGATCTGATTGGTTGGCTTGCGCTGCATGTTCATTGGTTCATTAAGCTGCCTGTGCAAATGGCAGCGTGAAACCTGTGCAGTCCTGCTTAGTCCAGTGCAGCCAGCTGTCCGCTCCCTCCCTGGAGGGTCAGCTAGGTGACTCAGCCTTCTCCACACGTGCAGCCTGCAAACAAACACACGGAAGAGCAGGCAGCACTAGGCTTTTCTGATTTGACTAGTTCTGGCCGGTTACACCTCGGCAAGGCCTTTACGCCACCATCCATTTCCAGCCTCCACCAGCCTGGAGCCTGCACGTGTGCGCCTGGCGTGCACAGGGAGGCTGTAGGACATGAACTGCACTACCGCTTGGCCCTGACACACACGCATATACCCCTACACGCCCAGCGAGGACCTAGAACATAGTAGGCATGCAGGACATTACTGTTACAAATAACTTCTTCATTTTTTACTGTGTTGCCCAGGTGTGTTGCCTATTAACAAAGATTTATTTCTCTTTGCTTTTCGCGATTGAAACTGTAATCTTTTACCATGTCCTTACCTACCTAGAGTCTTAGCCCCTTTTTTCTCTTCCCAGGCATGTTGCGGAGCCCCTCTGTCCTTCATGAACACGTGTGTGGTGGACAGATGACTGCCCTGCTCCCCGTGCTGCTCTAGGGGCCCGGACTGGAGCGGCCATCAGGGAAGGATGGACTCCAAAGACGAGAGCACGCACGTGTGGCAGACGTCTGCAGACCACGAGCAGAGCAGCACACAGGTGAACGGGGCACGAGGGCAGCGTGTTAGCTGGTGCCGCGCAGTGAGGCGAAGGCGTAGCCGGGCTGCAGATACGGGGCAGTGGGGGGAAGTGGCCTCCAAGAGTGGTTTGTAGGTTTTCCTTATTTGACTAGTGCTTATTTGACTGCTGCCACCCGCAGGCCCCTCTGTCTGTTCTGCACCATCCTGGCATCATGTTTCTCTCCTCCGCTTTATTTTAACCTGTTGGTGCGAGAACCTCACACTGTCACGGGCTTCCTTTATGTTTTCCGGGATGGCGTTTTGTTTTGTTTTGTTTTTGAGAGATTTTTGTTATAAGGCACGTGCACTTGCCAGAGAGACAGAAAGCGAGAAATCACCCCCAGGGGAGAAGGCCGCGCCACAGTCCCTTCTCTTCCTCTCTTCCATTCTCTCTTCAGATTTTGAGCACTCGCGCACATGTGTCTGGCATGAATCTTAAGCGGCCGGGTCTGGGACTTGAACTGCGGTTGACTATGTGGGAGTCCAGTGACATAACCATGATGCCATCTGCTGGTCCCTTCCCAGGATAGAGTTTTGACTCCTTGTGTGCAGTAAAGTACTAGGTGCATCTATAAAGTGAGGGCCTTTTCTTTCTAATTCAGAATGTGACACCTAAGGAGCATTGTCCCACTACGAGTCACCTGCTTTGGGGCTGGTCCCCGTGCACTCCGCTGTCTCCGATGGCCTGGCCTCTGTTGGACTAGCCATGTGGCCTGGCCACTGCCAGACTAACCATATGTTCTTCTGACCAGTCCGAGCCAAGGCAGGCTTCTGCATTCAGGTGGATTTGCATTTGACGATGAGTCGGTGGGAATATAGAGCCATGGTTTATATGTGACCAAAGTATAGAGCTTCATTTTTAAACATTATAATAAATACGTGGTCTTTATTCAATTTTTATTAAATTACAGTAACTATAGTTATGTAATCAAACTTATCAAAACCAGGAATTTAGCATTGAAACATTTAAACATACAAATTTTATTTAATTTAAACATTATGATAAATATAACAAATTGATCAGGTCAGCAGGTGGCATGGTTGCTAAGGCGGCTGGATCCTATGTTGCCAACAGTGTGGTCTGAGTCCTGGCCTGAGTGACTTGGAGAACATGCTGGGCTCATGCGCGTGCGTGCCCAGAATCTCGGAAGTAGGGAGACAGGGAGGAGAGGGGATTACGACGTGACCGTCCCCCATGGGGCGATGCTTTCTCTCTTCATCTCTCTTTCTCTGGTGAGTACATGCCCCCCTGGCAAGCTAAAAAAAAAGTGATCTGGTATGATTTAAAAGTCTCAGGGTGCACACTTAAAAAAAATTCAGAAATATTTTCAGTAGAATAATTGAGAATGCTGTTTTATTTCTCGAAACCATTTAAAAGACTACTTTCTTTCCTTTCCTTTTCCTTGTGTACTTGTCAGAGATAGGAATGGGGGAGGGGAGAAGGAGAGAAAGGGAGAGGCAGTGCTCCTCAGTGGGGTGTGGCCACGGTCCAGTGTTTTCTCCATTTCTTCATCCTGTCAGGGTTTGGGGCACACGCATGCACCCGCTGTGTTTTCCAGTGGGAGTCGGGCCATGGTCAGCTTCGTGAGGTCCTGTTCCTTTAACCACGTGGCTACTGGGTGGGCCCGTGAAATTTCCTTCTAACAATTGAAAACTGTGCAAGTATATGTTATCAGCCTAATTTTTCCATATACAAACCTTATCTTCATGGGCCAGTCACATTTATGTAGAAGCCAGACTAGTCATTTCGTATGAGAAGACGTCAAAGAATTTGTAGAAAGATGGAATTAAAGTACAAGTTTATTTTGGTGCCCAAAAAAGTCAAATATACGCATCATTTTTTCATAATGCACATTTCCCAAAGCCCTCCCGTGCAGAAGGACAGATGGTTGTACTTCTCGGTGTTCGATTCCGTTTGGTCACTTGGTTCTTTCTGGGAGGGAACTTGGTTTATATCATCTTGGAGACCTTCTATTCCCCTGGAGAAAACTGACATACAAAAGTTAGGCTGAGGGAACCAGCAGTTAGCGCAATGGCTGTGTCGCTGGACTCCCACGTAGTCGACCGCGGTTTGCGTCCCGGACCCGGTGGCTTAAAACTCACGCCGGGCGCGTGTGCGTGCGTGCCCAAGATCCCGAGAGGAGAATGGAGGAGAAGGGATTGTGGCGTGACCATACCCCCTGGGGGGTGATTTCTCGCTTTCTGTCTCTATGTCTCT